CCCAGAGGTGCCCTGCCAGTCATCACTGCCCTGCTCTGGTCACACCAGAAGCTGACCAGCCTGTGCATGGCTGAAGCCTGATGATTTTGCTACCATGGGATATAACAAGTGTATTGATTTATTTTTATGAAATGATAAGCACATGTCACCCCTTGCCTTTAGTTTTTGTTTTGCTTGTCTTGCTATTTTCTATAGGACTGACAGCAGTTGCCCCAAAAGGTTAGAATAGAATAGAAAAGCTATTAGTAGCATTCCTTTATCTCCTGTCAATAGGGTGTTTCTTAGGCATCTCATGGTGGCAATGTACCTTTTAAATTAACCCTTTCTTTGCTCCATCTACCTGTCAAGACTGTTAGATATCATTTTAGGATTAATGGTATTTTTTCTTTGCCTTGCTTATCATTGTGAAAATCATATTATCATCCTTGTTAGTATGCCCAGGAGCCCCCAAACAAGCTAAACTTCCCTTCTCCCACAAAACATGGATTTTAAGTTACTATTGTTATTGACCCTATCTGGAAATCTGAGGAGAGTCTCCCCAGATGCCATTAATCGTCCTGTTCATTTTAGGTATCTGCCTGATTTTACCCTGCCTACTTCCTTTGTTGATATGTAGCATTTGCGCCACCATAGAAACTTTGGTCAAGAAAAAAAACAGCCAGTAGTCTGCTAGCCCTAACAGACTACACCTCCCTCAAACCACTCTTAGACCCCCAAAAGTGATGTCGAATAAGATGATGCTTACTCCAGTGTTTAGAGAGAGTGTCAAATAGAAAAAATTTTGGAAAAATATAAAATTAATTCTTTCAGTAGCTTGTTTTGCCTTTAGAACAGAACCTGCTTATTGTATCAGCTTTACTGATAATCAACTGCTCTATTCCTGCTTTTGTAAATGTGCTTGCTTATTGCAATGACTACTGTACTGGCTACAAGAATGCTGAGAGAACAAAACTTAAAGGAACCTGGAAGAGTCTGCCTATAGAAACCCTGTAAGACCTAAACTCAAGGCTCAGATTTTGAAGCACTAGCTCATCTGGGCCTGCCAGCATAATAAAATACCTGATTCTCCAACCCTCTGAGTGCCAACCACTTCTCTGTTGAAGTCCACTCCATAACAAGCTGATGCAGAGTCTTTGGCTAACCTTGCTGTTCATAGTTTGAGGGGGTTCAGAGGCAC